CTATTAACGTTTTGCAATGAACATGTTGGGATTTTGATGTTAGTGGTAGATATGCAAGAATGAGACAAATTTGTGTAATGAACCCATTGTCTTTTTTACTAGTCCTGGGACTAGAAAATTTAAGACTCTGGATGTCCAAGTATTAGAGATTGAGTAATTAGAGACTGAGTAATCAGTACAAACTTATAAAGATTATCTCTGTGCTGCAAAAAAGAAAGCTTAAAAGGAAATACAGAAGAAATTGATGTCTGTACTACATCTGGTGAGCGTTAACGGCAAGGTGAGCAAGAAAAACCCAAGCTAGCTTTTCAGGCAAGTGCATGGGTTACATCAGTCTTACCAGAGGCTGAGACAAAGCAGCTGACGCTGCTGCAGTTAGTGATGCCCTCATGGCACTGCTTCCCAAACAGACTAAATTAAGAAATCATACTTAGGATGTCTGTTCTATAAATATCACTGCTTTTATTTAAATGCATACATAACCCATTTCAAATATCTCCTGTGACAAATTTTTTAATTGAAATATGCACAGAACAGGTAAAAGAAAGAATACCAGTCTCCAGAGAGGAACGAAATCAGCCAGGAAAACCTTCCTGAATTTTATTAAGATATTTCAGTCCTTCTCTATGCAAGTGAGTATGCAACAGAATTAAGTATCTTGATTAATTTTTATATTGGAACTGGCTGTATTGCTTTGAGGGTGCAGAATTGTAGCCCAAAAAAAAGCGCCCCACGGGGAGGAATGACCCATTCCTTAACCTAGTAGCATATCATACAGACAGTTGTGTCTGCACAGGAGGGCAGAGGAGGAAAAAAAAAAGTCACAGGAGCAGGCAAGATTACCTTAATAGTGCATCTTAATTTTAATTAATTACAGGCTTAGGTTTTTTTTTTTCCTGAGTCCAAGTAGACAGTAAAGTGCCCACTGGATGCATTCAGTCCCAGCTGAAGAGACATACTGCTTAAACCTCAGAGATTTTTTCACCCCCTACCCAATAAGGTAAAACTCCCAGCTGTAATTTCTTTAATGACTAATTTATTTGGAACCATTTCCAGAAGAACAGCAGAGGATAGCTTCAATGAAGAAAACAGTTTTTTGAGCCAAAATTGCAACGTTATGATTTAATGAGAACAAAGAGGAAGCCTAGGCTCCTTTATGCTTGAGTAACATGACATGCAGATTTCATTTTCCAAAGAAAGTGCTGGTGAAAGGGTCTGGACTGAGCATGCTAGAGGGTGCAAGTACAAACAGAGGTCAATACTCTGTCAAACTCCT